CACCATCCTCTGACCTTGCCACTTCTGTGCATGAACTGGCTTCACAAAACCCATGATCCCAAAAGGAAAAGTTCGTGGTATCTGACCTCCTCTCTCCTCTCTCAGAGATTCCAAAGGAGTGCCACCCCACTTACGTTCACAAAAACCCTTGAAAGTCCTGTAGGTGTACCCAACCAGATACCCCATCAAAGGAAATTCCAAAGCTAACCTCATGCCTAAATGAGCTTCCAAAGCCAACCAATTGGTGAACAAACCTTCTTTCATGATCCCCACAGCACGTTCTACACCCTTGGCCTGTGGACGATTCTCAGAAATGTTCCTCCAATGGAAGCCTCGACAGTTGGACTCTCTCAGAGACCTCTGCATCAGGTTCAGCAAGTAGGCTTCGTTGTCAGTGGCCACTTCCAAAGACAAACCTCCAACACCGATCTCATTCAAAACAGAGACAGTGGACTTCACGTCCCTCTCCCGGTCACCACCTAAAACCACCATGCCAATCATGCCAGTCTGAATCATGAGCAGAACCAACACCTTCCAGTGCCTTCCACCTACAAACATGATGTCAGCTGCAAGATCACATGTGCTTGACTCCTGGTCCTTTCGTCTCCGTGCGGGCGTCCGACCTCTTGCCTGAACACACGCATCACACCCTCGATCATACGGCCAATGTCCTCGACACTCGTGCTCGTACAACAAACTGCCCTCCAGTTCGGGCGATGGATCTTCCAGATCCGACGACTGTGGACCCTCCGGGTCATTATGGGGCAACTCCCCAGGTGGTTCGTCAACCTCGGAACCTGCCTCAACCATCGGACCTTCGGCCTCCGCCTCGGGACCTCTTGGATCGGGTTCGGTCGGGGTATACTCCTCTAGGTCACCCTCGTCCATATCAAGGTCATCGCCTTCCAAATCAATCAACGGTTTTCGGCAAACCACGGAACATCCGGACAACCTCGGACTCCTCCGAAACCTCCGGAAACCCTTCTTGGTTCCTCCTGAACGCAAGCAAGGACACAAGATCTGCCTCAGATCCCTCAAAAACCTCCGGATCTCCGTCCGGACCCTCGGAAAAGAATGGCTTTCACAGCTCACAAACGACGAGTTCGACTCAACCTCCCAGGTGTCAAACTCAGAAGAAAAAGACTGATCATCCTCCTTCCCCTTCTCAAACGTATCGGGCTCATGTTTACAAGGCAAAATAGGAAAAGAAACAGACTCATCACCACAAAAACGAAAAATACGGCACACATACGAAAACGACTGCAAAGAACCAGGCTGAGTGCACATCACTTCTCGACCCTTAGCTCTGGACTTTCCTGCCTTAGAAACTGGTCGTGCCTGTTCTGTCAGTGCTTCGTTTTGCGTTTCACCATCGTTTCTGCACTGTGTATGTGGTGTGGCTGTACTCTCAGTGCTTCGTGCTTCTGTGGTCTGGGTCTCTCTGATCTCTTCTTCTGGGTTCGATGGGGGGCCTTTCACCTCATCAACCTCCATGGGAGCAGGACCTTTGGTCGCTTTGCCTCCGCGTCTGGTTTGACCTGGTTTGGAAATCAAATCAACCGTCAACCACCAAGCACGCTCACAAATCCTCAAAGGAAAATTGGTACCATTACCATTCTCAAGGACACTCTCTCGTGCCCTACCTAATCGAGTCAACCACCCTGTCTCTGACAAGGCATAGCAGCTGATCACATTCAACTTGATTCGAGCTACCACTACTCGCTGCATGACTACTGGGGTCTTATACCTACCTTGAACTCAAGATCTACCGTCCCTGCAGTGGGAAGAATATGATCCCCTGCACCTCTCAGGATTGGAGCTGAACCTGGGTACCAATGCTTCACCTTGTAAAGCTTCAACCATTCCTCAGCAACAATGTGACAAGTGGCACCTGAATCTACAAGCCAATGGGTCTTGAGATTCTTTCCCAAGCCCTGAGTGCTCATCAAGTACTCAAGAGGATGAGTGACACTATGAACTACGGGCTCACTGGTGGAAGAACCTACCCCCTCAGTGCTCGAACTCCGCGGGACAGCACTTGAAGCCTCTCCAGACTTTGACCTGACAACCATGGCCACTTGGCCCTCCTCAGTCTCAGGTTCTTCAAGGTCAAATTCTTCCCACTCAGCCTCTTCCCAGTCACCTTCGTCACCCTCAACCTCACGAAGCTTGCCTTTCTTTCCTTTGCCCTTGCCCTTGCTCTTGCCTTTCCCCTTACCTTTCGCCTTGGAAGGAAAAGGCTTCTTTCCAGTGTCTGCTCCAGTGTCCTTGGTGTTCTTGGATGGTCTCTTGTCAGGATGCTTCTCCCAACAATCTGAGGCCACATGGCCGCTCTTCCCGCAGTGTTTGCAGCGCTTTGGTTTGGGGCACTCTGATTGCATATGACCAGGGTCTCCGCAGTTGAAACAACCCTTGCTTCGAATGGGAGAACCTTGAACAGCATGCGCCCTCTCCATGCCATGGGTCCAGTTGCACGACTGCGAATGTAATACTCTATCAC